AGCAGGAAGCATGTTAGCCATCAATTGCAGTCAGTTAAGGAGACAGGAGACACCTTTGACTGCTCTATAATAGACCTCATTTATGGATCTGAATCTGGCCTCTTACCCCTGCACTATCTGAGAAGAAAAACAGTTTACAGAATCTTATTTTTTTTCTTCATGTTCTCCAAGTAGAACTGCTGACAGCTTTCAGGGCAGGGCATCTTTTGCTCTTAGCCAGGTTGTACTAGGACATGCATCCTAGATGCCAAAAAGAAAAATGGTAAGATGTGCAGAGAATATTAGTTACATCTTTCTGGGGTTTATCTAATGGACTTGCAGCTGGCATCGAAGGAAAATTCAGGTAGAAGTTCAAATCCTAGGTTCAATTTACCTAAAGAGACCTTGAAGGCTTTACTTTTTCCTCAACTAATGTGGAAACCAGTGTGGGACCGCAAGCACTGTAATCTGCATTTAATCTAGAAAGTATCTATTTCAGTTTTAGTTCTTTTAGACAATTTCTGACATAAGGCATCAGCCAAGCCTGATGAGCCTTTTCCTGCAGCATGTTCCAGCTGAAATCCCCAGGCAGAAGTCATTAGGGTCAGGCTGCCTTTCACTTTGACCTGTTGATGACTAGGATAGCACATTATTTAAAGGAAGATTTAAAAACTTCCTCTATTTCAGTGATTTTACAGACAAGGCTTTCTACTGTACTCAAGAGTTCAAGGTTAAAAGGAATTTAAGCTTCTTGAGAACAAATGTTTTGTTTTGCCTGTACAGAGTATTAACGCAGTGGGGGCCTGACCCTGGCTTCAACTTCCAAACATCCCAGTATTGCTAGCAAGGCTTAAGAATACATCTGAACTGAATCTCTCCAGTCAATGATTTGTTGTAGAGAGGCACTCATTAATTGAAGGATGGCTGCTGAGGCACAGAAGAGTAGAGCTGTACTACAGGTACTTTCAGATTTTGAGACCACCACTGCACCTATAATGAAGCTAATTTAATTAGAGCAAAGGAGAATGTCCTTCAACTCATTAAAAGAAGGTGGCAGCTGCCAGTATGTTCATTTTATGAATCACAGCTTCATAAAATTTTGGCAAACCAAAATATTTTCCCCATCTAGGATCAGATAATTTCTCATATGCCATTACAGAACTTGAATTTGTTTCTGAATCTGTTTGCCCTTTTTTTTCCTCTTTGTATTAGAAATATAAAGGGACTTCTGTGCAACTTGCCAGTTGCCAAAACAAGTTCCAAGACAAGCTTCTCATTACCCCTTTCTTTATTGCCAATTTTTTAGGAAATGGACAAGGGTTTTTTAGCATTTAGTCATACAGAAAGGTCACTGCTGTGCCTTTGCCTTCTCATCTTAGATCTTAGTGTTTCTTTGGTGCCTCTATCACAGAGAGACGAGTGACAGATCTGGCCTCCAAGAGCAAGTCCAGTTGATTCCAGATAACTGTCCCCAGCTGATGAGACCGATGAGAAGCAGTGTTGCAAGATTTGGGCTACAATGCCTACAGTATCCAGAAGTTACTAAAATTTGTCAAATCAATCCACATAAAGCCCACAAGTGTTCAGGAGTGTCTTCCATAAGGACTTTTCTGTGTAGGAAAAAGCAGACTACTATTTTGATCACAGCAGATTAAAGGTACCTCTGGGGTTTTCAAAAGCTTGCCTGATGACCTTTCTGTGGTGGCAGTTTCATATTTTTCACGACTGACCAGTGAAAGCAGTGGTGACACTGTTCATGTTAAGAAATCCTGCGAAAGAAGAATGAAATCAGGGAAATAAAATACAAAAGGTTTGCTTAGCAGGAACAATGCCCGAGTTGCTGGCAAAAAGCAACAGGCGCAGTGTTTCGGGTTCCAGTGCTTATTTGGAGGAGTATTTAGCATGCTTCCCTGCTCTGCCAGTGACTGATGCTGGTGGCATGGCTCTGGGCTATTTAAAAAGCCTTGGGGAAACTGCTGTGGAACAAGTGGCAACCAATTAGTATAATTCACATCCTGGTGCCTGAGCTAACACTGTCTATGACCATCTGAAGCTGATTGCAGCAAAGACATTCTTGAAGCACATCCAGAAAGTATTAACATCCTGCATGCCAGGTGGTGAGAAGGTCACTGGGACAGAGATAATGAGCAGCTGGGAAAAAATATTCACATGGGAACTTTTATCTGCTCTAGTTCTACCACCATTCCAGCTTTGTTCTGAGAATTGCTTTGCTGTAGAAGCTAATCAGCCTTTTCAAATACTTTTAATCACCAAAGTATAGAAGGATAACCATTTATCATTGATTTAGCCTTCTGTCATGCTCCCCTTCCCCCCAGAGTCTTCCGCCTACTTCAAATAACATCCTTTGCAAAAGTCTCCTTTAAATAGTCAGTTAGACAGGCTGAGCTAGTCATGTTATTCCATTTTGGCTGTCAAAACCACCTTAGAAACACATGTAGAAATGTAAGAGATTAACTTGAATATTTAGGTTAGACAGAATCTTTTTTTGTTTTTGAGTTTCTTGGGCTCAGCTGAGGTCAACATGGAAAGAGCATAGTTAGTGCTGAAGAAGGGACCACTGGCTTTGACCATGCTAAAGAATAAGTTTTGAAGTTCTGCCAAGGCATGGACAGAATTGCTTCCTGCTTTATCTCTGTTCACATTTCTTAGTGTTGTTGACTGATGAGCTGGGTAGAAGTACATCAGAGAGAACGGTGGGCCCCAGTGCTGCTGTTTACATGGGAGTTCAAAATGGCAGTCCTGCTTTTTCAAGCCAAAGCTTAATTTATACTGACCTCACTAATGATGCTGATGAAAGGCAAAGCCCATGTTTCTCATACATTTGAAAGCTGATCCCCCATTCAGAGAAGACAAAACTGACTTTGTGCATCCTGTTGCAACACTAGATCTTGGAAAAAGCATATTCATCTACCTTTTATGTGACATCTGAGCTTCCCCTTTCTCCATCCACCAGTCAGTCCTTCATACAACCTTTCTTGGCCATATTCTACACTTAAGAAACTAAACTGAGCAAGGTCAAACGGAAGTCTGCTGTCTTGATGAAGCACAGACATGATGGGAAAACATCAGTGTGTGTCAATGGGAAAAGATATAGCAGCCAGGAGATAAAAATATCCCACATTCTGGTGTGTCCAAGGAGAAGGATAAATACGACAGATAAAACCACTAAAATGTACTTTACACTGTCCCTTTAACAGGGAAGATAAATCTTCAAGGCAGCTGCATATCCTATCTTATGGTGGATTAGCACCATTTCAGTTTGTGTAGTTCATCCAAATACTTTAGCTAGAATGCTCCAGATCCAGGGCTCCCTATATTTTTTCAAGTGCTTACAATTACTTTATAACCATCTTTGCTGATGGCCTTCACTGAAAAGCAGGCAGGCATGGAGCAGTTGTTGCCAACACATTTAGAAACATCAGCAGAGCCAGGAAATTAAGTATTCACAGCCTTTGTGAGGGGTTCAAGAATGTCAGTACAGACAGTCTGCCTACTTTCCATTGAATACCTAAGCTTGGCTGCTTATTCCAAACTGGATGTGCCATAGAGGCCTGCAGAGAAAGAAGGAAGGGAACTGGTTCCATCTGTGAGAGGAGATGGCACTTACTAGTGATATGTCTGTGGCTCACAGACCACAATCATACAAGTTGTCTTAAAACTTCTTAGCAGTGTTGGCATAACCACAGCAAAACAGAGGCCAGGGCAAGCTTCAAAGCCTGCCTGAAACACGAGGTAAATGCTTGAGGATAGACCTGTGTGAAGTCCCCTATATTAATGTTACTGGCCAACTTGACATGATCAAGCAAAATGGTTAGAAGAATGCTTAAACTATGTTGACACGGCCCCAAGACACTCTTTGTCTACCCTTATATTCCTCCCAAGTTATGTATAGACACGCTCTATGGTAATGTTTGGTACCTACATTCTTAACGCTCTTTGATAGAAGGACAGGCCCACACAGATTGGTACAGCTTTCCCAGTGGCAAAGGCATGACTCCTTTTGGGGTTGCTGGGCACATTTCATTAGTAATTTTCTCCTTGAGATCTTTCATAGAGTGTGGGACTCTGAAGAACTTTGCCCTTTGAGGTTGATTTATTTTGTGGTGGTGGTGGTTTTGAGGCAGGAGGGGGAGGAAGCTTTTTACCTGCTAATCTAGTGCTGTGCCACCAAGGAAGTGTGCAGACAGATTGAGAAGGCACAGAGCTGCATAAAAATGTGAGCATAGTAGTTAAAAACCACAGCGTTTTGTCAGTTTGTATTTTAGGCTGGTTTTTCTCATCAGGTGTTCTACAGATCCCCGACTTTAAGGAGCCTACAGGTGGCAGCTAAGAAAAGCCAGCTCACTGTCTTTACACTAATGGGACCTGCACCTCTACTGAAAAGTCCTTTGGGATCCTGCATATGTAAAAAAGTTTGGAAACAACTGCTCTTGATTGTCCCTGAGAGCTTGGTTGTTTTATTTTACTTATCAGCTAGCTAGCTGTAGCAGCACACAGAGCACATTCATAGGGAAATTAATGTCAAGCAATGAAGGTGCAAGCCCCCAGTCATATGAAGAGCATCTCAATGCCAAGAACAGAATTCTCCTGGACAGAAGTCAGGAGATCAGACCTTATAATGAGCTTCTATCTGACGTAGTATTACTGGAAAAGTTCTCACTAGCAGTGTTGTTAATGCATAAGCCTCTCACTTCTCCCAGCTGGGACAGAGGAATCCTGTGTTGCTTGATTTTCTGTGTTATTTTGGATTTCCTGCATACTTCTTTTTCAAATGCAGTTCTTAATTCTCTGCACCTAGAAGGTGCCTGAAGTTTTGGAAAAATTCTAGCTTGTTTGTTCATTCGTTTTCCTTGCCCTTCTTTCTCCACAGAACCTTATGGCAAGAGCTCTGTACGATAATGTCCCCGAATGTGCAGAAGAGTTGGCCTTCCGCAAAGGAGACATTCTGACAGTGATTGAACAGAACACTGAAGGTCTTGAAGGATGGTGGCTCTGCTCCTTACATGGCCGGCAAGGCATCGTTCCAGGCAACCGTGTGAAACTGCTTATAGGTCCAGTGGTACAGGACAGTCCTTCTGGCCAGGATATGTCCAATTCAGGATTGATGCATCAGTCCTTCAACCAGCAAAAGATCTACCAAGTGCCAAGTTCACATGCCTCAGCACGGGACCCTGTCTACCAAGTGCCACCTTCACATCTGAATCAGGGAATTTACCAAATACCCACTGGTCATGGTCTAGTAGGACAAGATATTTACCAGGTGCCACCCTCCATGCAGAGATGTATTGATGGTCCAGCTTTGACTAATAAGGTGCGTGCATTTGCTTTCATGTCATAGCTCCAAAGCAGGCCACTTGTGCTGACCCCTAATGAAGTGGTTATTGTCTAGTGACAGCCTGTGGGCTATATATGTATATATTTATCCTTCCTGTATTTTAACTATATGAGCAGTAACTCCACTGCAGTAGGAGGAACAGAAAGGCCCAGTTCCTAACAGCTTACTTAATTCACAGCTGAATTACATGGTGGAACATTTTAGAGCTATGCTACTGCAGCTGCTAAAGGTGAGGGGGAAGTATGTGATCTGTGTCCTCGCAGGCTTCCCAGGGAGGCTCAAACACATCTGGAGAAATCTTGTATTTTCTCTCATTTTCTCCCTTCCCTATAGACTAGATATAGTGAAATCTTTTTCTGGGGCAGTCAGCTTACCTATCCACAATAGCATTTAGATACAGTCCAAGGAAGTTAGTGAACACTTGGTACACAGCTGTTGGCATGATAGCACAGAAGAGATCACCGTTTAGCATACATCTGCATGAAACATTACAGCACTAGCAGAGATGCCTCAGCTAGCCAGCTTGGGCCACATGAAGTGGCACCATACAGCAGAGCTGCACTGAAGCCTGTGGGGAAGCCCAGATGAGCTCAGAGTAAGTGCTGTGTGGTTTAATTTTACAACCTGACCTGCATAAGTGTACATTAGCATAGTTTGCTTAGCATAACACAAGTGTGTGTGTACTCTGCACAGTGTACTCCTGAAAGGGAAAAATTCCCTAACTTCATGTGAAGTCTTTTCTTTCCTGCACCCCCTTCAGCTCCACTGTCCTTACAGGACATTCTGCATAAACCTGTTTGCTACAGGGACCGTGTTAAAACCCTAGACACACTGAGAAAATGAAAACAAAGATTTCAGTTAAGTGCAAACTTCTTGATGAGATGCAAAAGTCAGAGGCACTTACGCACCTTTTTTCTCCAAGTTCCTGCCTAGAATTTTTTCTGCAAGCTTGAATATGCGTTTTTCTGAATTCAGGTCACCTCCTTTAGAAAATTAAGACCATTTATTTGTCCAACTTATAACTTGTTTCATTTAATTCCTTGCAACCTATGAAACGTCAACTATGCTGCACAGAAACAAATGGCTACTCTGCCAGCTGTAGAATAAACTCAACATGCAGATTTATATAGCATTTTCCCCTCAGCAAAGTAGCTGCCAACCTGCTTAGCACTGATTCTTGGTACTTAGGTTAGGATCAGTTTATTTAAGCTTTCTCCCTTCCCATAGCAGCTGGAGAAGACAGTGTCCTCCAGACACCATTCTAAGCAGGACAAGCAGCAGTTTCTATCCTGTAGATTTCTGTGCACATTTGCCTGTTTTCTTTGTGTAGATGAGTGGTTTGGCTGCCATACAAGTTTTACAAGCAAAGCTTAGGAGCTGCTGTTAGGCAGGAATTGTCTAGCCTTAAGCAACAGTAAATCAACAGCAGGCATGTTATAAAGCTGTGCTGAGGTAAGGCATCTTGTTAGCCAGAAAGGCAAAGCAAGTAAAAAAGGAGTCCTGAGGCAGGTAATTGCAATAACGAATTGATTCTGGCCAAGCTAGTTGTTGACACCAAAGCTGGATTGGCTCCTTCTATCAAACAAAAATACCACCTTCTAAAACCCACCCTACAAATGACAGAAATAATGAGGGATGTTTTAAAATTAGCCTTGGTTAGCTGTGCTATAAAAGCTGTGGTGCAGGTTTAGTCACAAAGCGGTTACACCCCTAAGCGTAAAGAGTGTCTGAGGATCATAAAGATATGAAAGCTTTATCTTTGAATTTATTCCTTCTTTTTATGCTCTGTCTTCAAACTTACTCTTTTGCTGTGACCAGCAAAGAGAAAGAACCTTCAAACAGATCTGATGTTCAGGAAACCTGGGTTTTATCCTTGTGGTAGGCTTCTTAATAGCGCTAAGTGGTGTTTTTGCACCTCAGCAATGCCATTTGCAAAACGTGTGGGGTGATTATGAGAGAACTCATTCTGTACAGACTGCTTGGACAACATCCTTTGAAAAAGGTGCTTTCAAATCCCAAAGTCTTTTGTGCATCTGTGATTAATCATTATTTCACACATGAGCTTTAAACTAGGGAAAGCTACAAGCAAAAAACGTCACCACCATAATTTAAACACATTTTTTTCTGGTTCAGCATTTCCCCTAACTGATCTGATGTGCTGTCCCTTCCATCCTTGAAATAGCACTGGCCAAAAAATTTAAGGGAAATATTTCCTTCCTGGAAAACAGTTTGGACAACTTCTGAAAGATTTCTGTAGGAACCAGTAGCTTTCAGGAGAACTTCTGATCAAGGGAAACAAGCACAAAACACAGTATGAGGCTGATGCACCACCTGAACTACATCTCCCACAAGGCATAGACAAACTCAGACAAGTAGAAGTTGATGTGTTCCAAGCTGGCATTATCTTTTTTGTTTGTTGATCTGTTTGAACTAAGACTTTACAGTTCAGGAAACACTCAGATTTATCCACCTTTAAAAAAAATGGATGAAGCAGTGTAGGGAAGGAACTCATTCACA